TTTAAAATAAATGTTTTTAAAATTTCTTGCTTTCTATTCTAGGACAGTAAATACAGACAGAAATAGTTCACATAAATGGAAAATCCTTCAAGTGTCCTCAATCACTTTTAAGACTATGGTGGTTAAGACCTGAAGTTTCAGAACTACCACCTAATGTTTTTTCTCATTCTTGCCAACATGCTAGAACTCATTTATGAAGGAAATCAAAAGACAAAAACAGACTAAAAACATAAAAAATACTGTGCAAGGTAAACACACAGTAGCACGATGAGCTGACAGCATACTACTGCTAATGTGCAGCCCTCAACCATGATGGCAGTAGGCTTTTACCCCATAGTCCATCAAAGCAACATCGCTGCTTTGTGATTTGTGGGGCAGCACTGCCGAGACTCTGTGTGATGTGCAGCAAGAGAACCTTAAGCTCAACCTCTCTAACTCTACTGCTTCAGAGACACACTGTATTTCAGAAATTTGGTGACCTTAATTGTAAATGGGATGGCTACTGGTGTTTGTCTTTACACTGGCACTGACCATAAAGATCAAATGAGAAGATGTGAATAATAAAGAAAATTTGTATTTGTTACACAAAGTCCATGGGTCAGCTTAGTGACTTTTCTGATCTTAATGAGGCACCTGAGAGTCTTCACATAACATCTCATTTTGCTACCAAACCTTTGACCAATCACTCAAAGTCCAGAAAATCACCCAAACATCTAAATAGTGGCTAAGAAAGTAACTTAACGTGCTGGTGTTTTTAAGAACCACCCTTTCAGAAGCTCTTAAATACAATATGCCTGTGATACCAATTACTTAGAACTAACGCAAATGGTAACTTTTTCCCCATCTAGGGTCACAGTCAAAGCAGAAAGCTAGCATGACACCTGGCACCCAACTCTAACATTAGCTTTTCCTCCACAGAATAAGTAATGTTTTAATACAAACTAGTAATAGATCCTTTATAAGCAGAATCTTAATTAGAAAATAACATTTTTTCAGTACTTAGCAGAGACCTCAGAAAGTAACAGACTTAGGGTACAGCTGAAATAATACAATTTAGAAAGTCTAAGAAGCACCCAAGTACATTTTTTCCCCTTACTCTACATTTTGACTGTTAGCAATTATTGCTTAATGTTTCTAGCATTCCCCAGTTTAAAATCATAAGGTATTTGGGAATCTTCTGAGAAACACTGGTTCCCATGGAGGTGTTCCAGAGCTCCAGCTGAGTGGGTGCTGCTTCCCCAGGCTTCTCAGCTAGGAACTGCAGGTGCTGCCAGCAGAGCCAGAAACCACTCTCTCCCTAGGGCACTTGGACTGCTCCCAAGCCCTGGGCTCAAGGTGTGGCCCCGTCAATCTGCCTCCTTCCTTGGTAAAACATAAAAAGGGAAACAGCAAAGTGTCAGCTGTCATCAGGCTGTATAAACTCCTGGGGCTGGCTTTCCATTCTATCAGATTACATCCCCTTAGTTAGCAAATCAGAATACAAACTGCTTCTCTGACTGGCTTCCTCATCAGGAACTCCACTGACACCTTGAAAGGGAAGACGTTTTTACTTTATTTGCAAAATGAATTGATCTTCCAGCAATTTCTTTTATTTTTCTTGGGATTACACTCCTTGGTAAGAGGCCTGTAGCTTGGGGTAGGTTTGGTGAACTACCTACATCAGCACTTGTTCTGGGCCAGAAAGCAGGACAAGGAGTGTATGACGACACAGGCCATATACAGTAGAGCAATAGGGTGAATGGCCCTGGAGACAGAACGAGTGGGGTCAAGCCTACTTACTAACAGTGTGAATGAACATGTTATATAATCTCAGGTAGAATAACCAGAGAGGGTTGCTGTAACATGTTCAATGAGCTAATCAGTATAAAGCACTGACCACACTACCAGATTCATCAGAGATATTCAATAAATATAACTTGTTTTTTGTTTGGAGAAGAACAAACAGACGTGGAATGTTTGTTTGCCACTGACTTGTGTGCACTGCACATATACACAGTCGAGCAGTGTACCAAAGTGTAGAATGGATTAGTCTAGAAACTTTGGAGGTGTTCAATCTTGAATTAAACAACGTAAATTTGGTCTCCTGGAAACTGAAGGAGCAAGATATCCATATGAAAATGCCTGTCTCAGGGGAAACAGAACTTCCTCCCTGAGCAGGTCTTGTAGCAGTTATTACTAAAGTCTTATCTCACTTCCCATCTTCCCACCACTCCACCCTTTGGGCAACTCATCATCAAAAGGGTAGGTAACACCCAGAGGAAGCGGAAACAAGAGTCATCATTTGAATAAAGGATACTTAAGTAATCCAAGATTTACAGAAATAACATGGATTTCTTCAATCCAAAAGTGTAGGAACATTATTATGTTCAAAATCATCCTTTTACAATATTTTGAAAACCAGAAGTATCTCCATATTCCACATTTTTTTGTAGACCATATTTCCTGAGTAGGAATATTCAATGTCATAAATCACCAACTATAATTAAGTTGTTGGGTAGATACACACATAAACACAGACACAATATCTAGTGTGATAAAATGAAAGAATATTTGGGGGGCCAGCACTGTGGCACAGTGGGTTAAAGTCCTTGGCCTGCCCAAGCGCCGGCATCCCATATGGGTGCCAGTTCTAGTCCCAGCTGCTCCTCTTCCAATCCAGCTCTCTGCTATCGCCTGGGAAAGCAGTAGAAAATGGCCCAAGTCCTTGGCCCCTGCACCCACATGGGAAACCCAGAAGAAGCTCCTGGCTTCAGATCAGCTCAGCTCTGGCCATCGCAGCCATCTGGGGAGTGAACCAGCAGATGGAAGACCTCTCTCTTTGTCTCTACCTCTCTCTGTAACTAATTCAACCAAATAAAATCTTAAAAAAAAAAAAAAAAAGAATATTTGAACTATCAAATATTCAGATTAACAGGGTGTAGAAATTTTTCAAATAGTCATTTTTCAAATAGGTTGTCTTTAACTGAAAGCTAAGTGGTTATCAAATGGAATTTTTAAAAGTTATTGCTTAAGGAATGCATTTAATACATTAGATTCTCAGAGTCACAGCAAATTCATGATAATTACTGCAGCACAATTCTCATGTTATGTGATATTAATACAAGGAGAACAGATTCAATATAGTGAACAGATACAATTCTAATACAATGTGTATCAAATGGATTGTGACAAGACTTGCCAAGACCTCGGAAAGCTTTTTTTTTTTTAATTCTTGACAGGCAGAGTGGACAGTGAGAGAGAGAGGCAGAGAGAAAGGTCTTCCTTTGCCGTTGGTTCACCCTCCAATGGCCACCGCAGCCGGCGTGCTGCGGCCGGCGCACCTCACTGATCTGATGGCAAGAGCCAGGTACTTATCCTGGTCTCCCATGGGGTGCAGGGCCCCAGGACTTGGGCCATCCTCCACTGCACTCCCTGGCCACAGCACAGAGCTGACCTGGAAGAGGGGCAACCGGGACAGAATCCGGCGCCCCGACCAGGACTAGAACCCGGTGTGCCGGTGCTGCAAGGCGGAGGATTAGCCTATTGAGTTGCGGCGCCAGCCTAAAATGTTTCTTCATAAGATTGCCGTGCTCCAACTTGTGTGGAAATAGTTTCCTAATTTAGAAATGGGTGATTTGAACCCAAAGAAAGAACTGAATGGGTGAGTGAATGATGAACCGAATCTTCCTAAGCATGAGTGCCGTGAGGGAATGGGAGGGTGCTTCAACACAATAAAGTAAGGCCCAGACACCTCTGCCTGGCCGAGAACTCCCACCTCCACTCTCTGTGTCTGCCTCTGTGGGAGAGTACCTCCATGCCCTTGAATTGTAGGGATTCTTCCTGTCATCTACTTCTAAAATCAAAGGTTCTCCAAATCTCAAAACCTTCTTCTCGCTGGGGGTTAAAAAGATGTGGGGAGTTGAGGGAGGTACATGATTTGTAAATCAAGAATCTGTATGCATGACCATCATCATCCAAGTGAGACACAGTATTTGAAATACCAATTTTAATATCTGTTTGACACAGAAGCCATTAACACTCCTTAAACCAATCAAAAAAACAACAGTTGCTAAAGGTTATCTTTAAAAAAAAAAAATCAGGGGCCGGTACTGTGGCATAGTGGGTTAAGCCTCTGCCTGCGGTGCCAGCATATCATATGGGTGCCAGTTTGTATCTTGGCTGCTCCTCTTCCCAATCCAGCTCTCTGCTATGGCCTGGGAAATCAGTACAAGATGGCCCAAGTGCCTGGGTCCCTGACCCACATGGGAGACTTGGAAGAAGCTCCTGGCTCCTGGCTTTGGATCGGCTCAGTTCTGGCAGTTGCGGCCATTTGGGCCATTAAACCTTTCTGTCTCTCCCTCTCTCTCTCTGTAACTCTACCTCTCAAAAAAAAAAAAAAAAACAAAACAAAACAAAAAAAAAACAGTAGGGGAATGTAGAAGAAAGTTCAGGCTGGTGTCGTGGCTCAATAGGCTAATCCTCCGCCTATGGCGCCGGCACACCGGGTTCTAGTCCCGGTTGCCCCTCTTCCAGGCCAGCTCTGTGCTGTGGCCCCAGAGTGCAGTGGAGGATGGCCCAAGTCCTTGGGCCCTGTACCCGCATGGGAGACCAGGATAAGCACCTGGCTCCTGGCTTTGGATCAGTGCGGTGTGCCGGCCGCAGTGGCCATTGGAGTGTGAACCAACGGCAAAGGAAGATCTTTCTCTCTGTTTCACTCTCTGTCCACTCTGCCTGTCAAAAAAAAAGGAAGAAGAAGAAAATTCAAGTAAAGCAGTTTCTCTACCTTCAATAAATCTACTCTACTGTGCATTGCTTAAAGGCATAAATTCTAGGAATTTCACAGTGGGATTTTTAAAAATTATGACCTGGCATATCTGAGAATCAAAGCTTTTAATTTTTTTATTTTATTTTTTGCTCCCTGGACCAAGGGATGGAGGGAGGATTACTGAATTTTCTCTTTATATTACCTTCTACTTTGGTCAAAGTATAACTCTTTGTTAACCATGTATAAAAAGGCTTACCAGATTTTTCAGCAGTGTGGACAATTCCTTTGTCAGAGTTGAAAACTTGACAAAAGCGGTGCCAAGATCAGGGTTGTCGCGGCTTAAAAAATTACTCCCAAACTTATCAAGAATTTGGGCATAGTTTTCTTCATTTTGAACATGATCTAAAAGGAAAAGAAAAGGAGTGTGAGATATTGTTTGACAAGGAAGAAATCATTTTGAACACTGATCGCCAGCAAGTCACAAAAGGAAAGTCCAGAAAACCGGTATCACCTATTCATTGAATGGCACACCCTGGGAGTGCTGACCAGTACACTGAGTGTTCTAACTCACTCTGTAAAACGAGAACTCCTCTTTTTCTTTGATGGCACTTATGTCCCAATTAATCTATTGTCTCCCCACATCCTGAGGGGTCAAATTATCATCACATCGCCAAGTAATAATGACTATCCAAGAATAAGGAGAAAATTTTCCTTACTTGAGCTGTCAAAGGAAAATTCACGTGTTCTAGCACATTTCTTTCTCTGCAGCAAAACTCAGTGTCCTTTCAACGTGTGTAAGGCCCAGGTCTGAGAAAGGCACGTTTAGAATACTCCTCACGTGCCACCTTGTTGCAAAAAGTTCAGGCTTGGACCAGAAGAAAGTAGGTTTAAAGTCTGGTTTCACCCCACCTATAAGTCTAAAAGGCTTTTAACTTCCAGGCCTACACCATAGCTGGCACAGAGGAAGCAATCATTATATATCTGTGAACATGTTTCTCCTCGCCAAACTTCTGCTTTGTAATCCATTAAATAAGGCTAAACTCTACCTCACAGGGCTATGGCACTGGTGGTTGACGTAAAAGATACAGAAGTGTCCCAACAGAGAATGTGCCATGGATGGTAACTCTGACCTCCCCGAAACTCTTATCTTACTCAGCTTCCAGGCTGTCCCACACTCTGGATGGTCCTCTGACCTCATGAGTACTCCTCGCCATTGACTTTGCTGGTTCCTCATCTCCCTGACCTCATCGCTATTGCAGAACCCCAAGTCTCACTTCTTTCTTAGTCTTATGGCTTGAAATACTTTATCAGCAGACAACTCCCACACTGACTCCCGTGGCCCTGAATAGGACCCCACCCCTGAAACAGAGGCTTCTATATTCAACTGGCTATTCAGTATCTCCATTTGGATTCCCATTAATTATTTCCAATCTTCAACATGTCTAAAAGTCTCGGTTTTATGCCCCAATTCTGTTCCCCACTGTCCCCTTTTGGCTGTCAGTTAGTACAAGTACATTAAAGTTGTTTATGCTGGAACTCATCAAGTCATATTTGGGTGTTTTCCTTCTTACACTCCAGACACAATGCACTGGAAATCCTGTTGCCTCTACCTTTAAAACAGTCCAAAATCTGACAACTTCTCACTATCCCCATGGTATCAACCTTACCCAGTACAATCGCTTGACCCTGTCACTGCTCAAACTTCCTAACTGGTCTCTTTGTTGCTGTTCTTGCTCCCCTATGGTCTGTTATCAACACAGCATACTAGGTAACACTGTTAAATGTGTGACAGATCTTCCAGCTCCCATGGAGGACATCCCATTCAACACGGATAGCCACATTTCCAATTCTTGTGGGCTTCTGGAAAGGAACACAACACTTCTCCACACCCTTGAAGTAAGGCGTGGAACATGACTTGCACTGAGCAAGGCATTGTGAGCGGAGGTGATGTTTGTGCTCAACTCTCCATCTCCCTGTCCCTCTGTTGTGGGGCACAGAAGCAAGCATTTGTATGGTGGCCCAGAGGAGACAGATGCAGGGATTTATTGAATGAAGTCAGACCTTAAAGGTTTATAACATGTGTTACCCTCTTTTTTTATAAAGCCTTCGCTGAGCTGCAAATAACCATTCCTTCCCCATAATTCTCTATACCTCTAATGCACCATTTTCCATCTCATCTTATTATATTCCTATATGCACACATCTTTGTCTGCCGGCAGACCACAGGGACTACCTCTGACTCACCTCTGCACCTCACCCACCAGACACCACTACAGGTTTTCCAGTGAGCTGGGATGAGGAATCTATCGCTCAGTAAATATTTGTTGAACTCCTTTTCAAGAATTTAAGAAACATTAAATCTTCTAGGTTGTTTAATAACTCAGATGAAACTGTTTTAAAACTTCACTTTCATACCTTCCCTCAATAACTGCATGAGAGCAAGGGACACGGATGAAACAGAACAAGAGTCTGCATCAGGAATAACCCAGAAGTATAAACACAATAAAGGGAACAAGTGTCACAGCAGTCCACTGAAGTGAAAGGAGGCACCAGCAGCCTTCTCATCATCACCACATTAAAAATTCATGATGCCTGCAGTGGTTGTCAGCATTTGGAGCTGAGATATTACAAAGATAAAATGTAGCTCTGGTTACTGCCCAAGTTCACTCAGGGAAGCAGCTCAGGAAAACACAAAAGAAAGGTCAAGTCAGCTCAACAGACAGGATGCACATGTCTGATCTATCTCATAAACTGGAACTATCCCTGATACCTTGTATCTGAAGCCGAAGAGGTCCTACTTCCCCACTGAGAATCCTACCTCCCTTCATGGCCTTCTCTGCTTTCAGAGACCACAGAAAGAAGAATTTCAGTTGCCTGTTCATTTTAAATGGTTCCAAGGGAAACATCTTCATGGTAAACATAAATATATTTATTAGCTTTCTGTTTGCCTCTTATATAATATTTCAAATAAAATACATTACAAATTTTAGATTAACAGAATACTCATGTAACAACACCTATCCACCTTAAGAAATAAAATATTATGGAAGGGGACCAGCACTTTGGTGCAGTGGGCTAAGCTGCAGCCTGCGATGACAGCATCCCATAAGGCCTCTGATTTGAATCCTGGCTGCTCCACTTCCAATCTAGCTCCCTGCTGGTATGCCTGAGAAAGCAGCATAAGATAGCCCAAGTGCTTGGGCCCCTACCACCCATGTGGGAGACCCAGATGAAGCTCCTGGCTCTTGGCTTCAGCCTGGCCCAGCCTCAGTAGTTGTAGTCGTTTGGGGAATGAACCAGCAGATGGAAGATTCCCCAGCCCCTCTTCCTTCTCTCTTTCTCTGTAACTCCGCCTTTCAAATGGATAAATAAATCTTCAAAACAAAAAATGCTGCCTGGGTACCATCATCCCAGTTGGAGTGCCTGGTCAGAGTCCTGGCTACATTTCCAATTCCATCTTCCTGCTAAGGTGCATGCTTGGAGGCAGCAGGTGACAGTTCATGTGCCTGGGCGCCTGCCACTTACATGGGGAACACGGACAGAGTTCTGGGTTCCTGGATTTGGCCTGGCCCAACCCTGGGTGTTGTAAGCATTTGGGGAGTGAACCAAAAGATGCAAGATCTCTCTCCTCCTCTGCCTTTCAAATAAAACAAAAATAAATAAAATAAAAGGAATTCAAATGTCCAGCAATGTGGCATAGCAGGTAAAGCTGCCACCTGTGGCACCAGCATCCCATATGGGGACCAGTACAAGTCCCTGCTGCTCCACTTCCAATCCAGCTCCCTACTAATGTGCCTGGGAAAGCAGCAGAAGATGGCCCAAGTTATTGGGCCCCTGCACCTATGTGGGAGGTCTGGAAGTAGCTCTGGCTCCTGGCTTTGGTTGACCAATTGGGGAATGAATGAGCCGATGGACAATTTCTCTCTCCGTCTCTAACTCTGCCTTTCAAATAAAGTAAATATTTAACAACAACAACAACAACAACAAAAGGAATTCAAGGTAGAGAAACCAGTTCCCGTGGCTGGAGCTGTGGTAGAGCAGGTTAAAGTCCCAGCCTGTAGCACTGGCATCCCGTATGGAAACCAGTTCCTGTCCTGGCTGCTCCACTTCCAATCCAGATCTCTGCTAATGGCCTGGGAAACCAGTAGAAGATGGCTCAAGTGCTTGGACCCCTGCACCTGTGTGGGGGACCCAGAAGAAGCTCCTGTGCTCTGGCTTTGGATTGGCCCAGCTCCAGCAGTTGCAGCCATCTGGAGAATGATCCAGTGGATGAAAGACTCCCCCACCCCCACCCCGCCTCTCTGTAATTCTGCCTTTCAAATAAATAAATAAATAAATCTTTTAAAAATATATTATGGAAGGTTTCCCCCACTGTACCCAATTCCAATGTCATCCCTGCCTCCCCATGGCCAATCCTCAACTGGAATTTCATGCAGACGTTAGGAAGAATTACAAGAAGCTCTCAGGCTGTTGGTGATGATGCACTCCTCAAAAAATAAGATGGACTCTGCTAGGGGCTAAGGCAGAGACAGGCCATGGGGAGGAGCACTGGAGTGCACTGAGGCTTTTTCTCTGATTCAAGTGCTTTCCGCCACATCCTACTTCACCTTCACCAGAACTCTGCAAGGGAAGAACTGCAGTTTCTAGGTAGATGAAACAGTGTGACGTGAGAGAGGCCGAAGGTGAGACTTGATAAGTAAGCACAGGCTACTTCATGCATCTGCATGTACACATGTGTACATACAGTAAATGTCCTAGTGCAGATAAACATTTAAAAGCATAAGACATCTAGAAAGTATAGCTTGAGGGCAATAATAATAATCTTATGAAGGCAGAAACAATGGGACTTAAAATGTCAAGCTGCCTAAAATAATGCCTGGTATGTGGCTCATGTCCCCAAATGTCAGCTGTTGTTGCCTCTGCACCAATGATTGGCTATAAAACAGAGAGATGTAATATCAAACAGTACAGGAACACCGGTCTGACATGTTAAGATTTTTCTTAAACATACAGCATTATAAATCTAATGGTGATAAAACAGAAAGTCTCTCTCTCTCTCTCTTATACACACAAACACTGTACATCAAGGATTTTCAATAGGCACAGAGTAGAGGGCAAGGAGAAATTACACTGGAGGAAAAGGCATGGGCAGAGGCAGAAGGGGTGTGTGTGACAATAGTGAGAAGTACAGTGATCATTTGAGTGAGTGATCAGTTCAAGGGTAAAGGAAGAGGAGGGAAATAAAGACTTGGGAGGGGTCACTGAGACAGAGTGGGTGTGACTAAGGATAGGGACTGATGGCTACAAACTGGCCTGATGACTTCAGGAGATTTTAGAGAGCAAGAGAAGCTTTGTTGTAAGATCTTCACTCTTCCACCACCATCAGCATGCCACGTTCTTCT